AAAAGCAGCAGCAGTCTTAACGATGCAGCTCAGATTAGCTCCACTCAGCCAGAACTAGTCATTTTCATACATATCCCATGACACAAGTTAGAACACACTCTGGCGGCAGGCTTTGGGGTAAACAGGTTCTTTAAATTCCCCATGCCTCAGTTCCCTTATGTGTAAAATGGGGGTAATAGCAGCACAGGGATTCTGTGGGGAGTCAGTGAGTGAATTCCTGGTGGTCTCAGACTGGAACCCACCTCCACCACCACCTCTGCTTTAGGGACTGGTGGTTCCATTGCCTGATGGCTATTAGGGAGGGAGAGTTCTGGGAAGCTAGATTCTTGAAACATGGGAAACGGACAGAGCCCTGCTGAGGCCCTAAGGAGTCAGGTTAGAGGGGCTTGTTACTTCACCTTGCCCATCCTCTAAAACAGAGGCCTGCGGGGGTGGGTAGCTTTTAAGTTCCTGGCATGTCTTGGGGCATCTACACCAGGGACAACTGATAGGGCAAAGGCAGAGCTGGGCTCTGGGAGTCCTGAGAGAGGCACCATCTAAGATGGAGGAACAGAAAGGGTGGCAGGAATGGCCCCAGTCTTGAGGAGGATGAGGAGGTCTTATCAGGAGTCCAGGGATGGGGGTGTATCAGTCTGAAGCAGGCCAGCACTATTCAGTGTTGCCTTTGTACCCCAGTTCTCTGTGAAAGGGAAGGAACTAAAAGGGAAACCGTGTTTGTCACGACCCTCATCCACTCACCGACTGTCCAGGAGGAGGGATTCCACCAAGGCCTCGAGGGAGCCTCACAAACACAGAGAGGACAGCAGCTTTGTTGCCAAAACAAGGCTCCAGGGCAATGGGCTTGGGTACAGTCTGGAGGAAGAAACACAGAATTACCTAAAGCAGTCCAACACTACTGCCTTTAGAGGGGATTTGTGAGGCTGTCCTCTATATTAGTTGCTGTTGTTATGTAACAGATTACCACAAACTTAGTTGCTTAAAACACCTCCTATTTATTATCTCAACTCTGCATGCCCATGTGAACTCTGTACAGATCTCTACTTGGGGATACAGGTCTATTCAAATCTTCCACCCGCTCTGGAAAAGTCTTATCTTCACAAGGTGGAAGTCAAGTTATTAGCTGGGCTGGCACTTATCTGGGGGGTCAGGGAGAGAATCTGCTTCAGAACTTAATCTGGTTGTTGGCAGAATCCAGTTCCTCTCAGCTGTAGGCCTCAGGTCTCCATTTCCTTGCTGGTGGTCAGTCAGGGGTCACTCTCTCTAGAGGCCACTGGCCTTCCTCATATGGCGCCTCCAGCCTCTAACCACACAGCGAGTCCTTCTCAAGCTTCCTCTTCTCTATCTTAAGACTTCTGTATCTTGGAATTTTTATTAGTTTTGCAAAATTCCTTCATAGCAGTAGCTAAAGTAGTGTTTGAATAACTAAGAAAAGGGAATCTTGGGTGGCATCTTTAGAATTCTGCTTACCATACCTCTCAATATGTCATGAATTTCTTCAATTAAATTAAGAAAATAATTTCCAGAACCATTCTGGCTGCAGCACAGGGAAGTAACTGGATGGTTGAAATAGCAGAGGGGGGGTGATCAATTGTGAGGTGACTGCAATCATCCAGGCGAGCACTGGACAGGTTAGGATGGAGGTGGAGGTGGTGTAGAGTGGTCAGGAAATATTTTTAATACAATAAAAAGATTTGAGGACAAATTGACAGTCAAATGAAAGTGCGAGCAAGGATGAGTCAAGGAAGATGCCACGATTTTGGTAGGGATCTTCTTGGATCTTGTTGATTTTAAGATGTTCTCTTCATCTTTGGAGTTGTGTAGTCACTATGATAAATCCAAGTATAGTTTTTCTTCTCTCTTCTTCCTTCATTCCTTAAGCCTGCTTGTGGTATGTTTTGCTTTTGGAATCTGTATAGTCATGCCTTCCATTCTTTGGGAAATTTTCATCTATTATCTCTTTGAATACTGCCTCTCCTCCATTCATCTGTCTGGGGGTTCTGACTAGGTCTTTTCATTTTATCCTCCACATTTGTTATATCTTCCTTCTCTCTCTGTTCTGCATTTTTTTTGGGGGGGGGGTTATCTTCTACTTTAAAAAACTCCCATTTAGGTCTGATGTGCTACATTTAACATGTAATTTCAGTTATAAAAAAAATTCAGGGGGCCTCCCCGATGGCACAGCGGGTTGAGCACCGCGCTATGAAGCTGTCCGCAGCCTCTGCAGCACTGGTTAGATTCCCGGCCAGCCAGGGAGCAAACCACATGGCACGGTAGACCTCTCCTGCCTTGCCCGCTGCTCTTCTCAGCAGTGTCTTTGGTTCGTCTGCCTGTTCTGCTCCCTAATCTATCTCTGGTGAATTCTCTCACCCTCCCATGCCTCTGGCCTATACCTCAGTTCTTGTATAAATAAATCAATTTTTAAAAAAAAAATTAAAAAAAACTTCAACTACTGTATTTTCCATTTCTAAAAGATCCATGTGTGTTTTTTTTTTTTTTTTCCCAGATCTCTTTTGCATTCTTTCATGGCTTCTTCATCTTTATGATTCTGCATTTTATTTCTTCAAATATTTCATACATAGTTATTTTCTTTGATTAATTCTAACATTTGAAGTCCTGTCTCTATCGACCATCTATTGCATTTGCTTACTTACTCATGGTGGCTTGCCTCTCCTATCGCTGGTGAGCTTTGGCCGTTTTTAATCTATGAGAATCCTAGTTTAAATTTGGGATCTTCTTCTACTCAGAGGATCTGCATCTACTTTGGCTAAGACTCATGGTGTGTTACCAATATGGAACCACTTTAAACCCTTCATGGTTCTGGTTTTGGTTCATGGCTCATTCTTTTTTGGGGGAGGAAAAGAGAGTGGTATCTGAAAACTTGACCCACTTCCTGTGAGCTCAGTAATACTCTAACAAACATGTTTTATTCAGGGCATATAGCTGATTCCCTAGAGTATTTGAAATTATTTCATCATTTTGCCAAAAAAGTCATAACTTTCTTCATTTTGGGGAGAAAGGCAGGGGTCAGAAATATTTATTTTCTATAAAATGCATAGTGAATTATGACTTTGGCCTTTTAAGACCACATCCAAGTCATTACAAAGAACAATGGTTCAACTTAGCTATTATGCAATAGAATATTTAGAATACATTTAATATCAAACAGGTCATTTATTTTAGAGTACAATTAGTATCACACAGATCATTTATTTAAATCCTAGAACACAAGACTTCTTAACAACACACTAAAGACAAGAAAATGAAAGCAAAAGAATACCTGACAACTTCAGTGTGTTGCCTTGCTGATAAAAAGAGAGGAAAACATAAGAGGCAACAGAACAAGGCTCTCTCTCTTTTTGGTTTCCCAGACACAGAATCATGAGTTTGACAAGGTAAGTCACAGGGACTTCTGTATCACATTCTCACCTTTATAGTCCCCCGATGAGATCAGGAGGCTCTTCATCTGTTTCCAAGGCAACATTTACAGAGGCAAAGGGACGACTGGCCATCTGCTGCATCTCTCGAAGAAGTTGCTAATAAGTAGCACAGCAACCATTAATGCAGTGAGTATTGAAGGGGATTCTATTAGTGAATAACACATTAAATCACCTCATCTTCCCTTGATTCAAACAAATCAAGTATAAAATATGTTGAGATGGTTTGGGACAATTGGACAGGGACTGGATAAGATTAGATAACATTAGGCATTATTAAAGGCATTATTAAACTTTGCTAGACATTATATTTAAGTATTGTTATATTAATTAAGGTCCTTATCTGTTAGATACTCAAGTACTCACGGGTATAATGCTATAATAACTGCTTGTTAAATATATAAAAAATGATGTAGCCCTATCTCCTCACATTTTTATTACTAGACTAAAGCCAAGTTTTCTTTCTTCCAGCTGAAACTTGAACCAAGTATTTACACTTTAACAAAAGCCTGTACCTTGTTACATAGTAGATAGGAATTGAAAGAGCTCTTTACTGCTCCAGCCTCTAGTATTTTGTCAACATGAGTGATGAACTTACAATGCAAAAAGGGTGGCATAATTCCCACTGAGGCTCTGTCTGCCAGTTACTACTAAATAGCTAATTCAAGGACAGACTTGTCGGTCTTTATCCATTGAGTCTTACCTCTCTACGCCTGGAGGCCCAACAACTTTGCTTGATCTTCCAAACCACAGCAGCCACCAGGAGCAAAGAGAGGAAACAACTGTGAGAAAGGAAAGTACCAAGTTATTATCCCAGCCCCAAGTCAGCACCACTATCACCCACAACTGAGAGCAGGAGGGGACCAGTGCCCAGCTACCAGCTTCTTTCTGGTGAGTCATAACAACCAGGTTCCGGTTCACAGGAAGCAGCATGTAAGAAGACTGGAAGCTGAGCTCCCACCGACCTCTAGACTGTCCTGTCCCAGGTACTGAGAACATTGATCTCCCACTGGGCCTGCGTCAGAATGGCACATCACAGCTGATTCCAAATTAGGAAAAGAATTAAAAGATAACTATGATAAATAAAAAGCATGCTATTTAATCAAATTAGCAAATTTTTACTGTTAAGGTCTAAAAAATTAAGTTAAAGGAACAATAGCTTTTTATAAGGAAGAGGTACACTCAACTCTATTTCTAGAAAGTAAAAGTAAATATACATATACATATATATATGGTGCAGTACATATGTATGTGTGTGTGTGTGTGTGTGTAAAAAACAGAGCAATCAACTCAAGGGACAACTTTCTGGAGGTACAAGAGAGTAACCCCAGTGGTCTGTGACTGCAGTGATGACAATGTTCTGTCTTCTGTAGCCCAGGCATCGAATGGTTTGAAAACCTACTGTGACAGCAAAGAGAACAACTGATTTCTGGTTAGAGAAAGCATGGGCCCAACACATCAGCCTCTTAGATAACAGCATAAATTTATTTTTCAACTGGCATTTTCACTCATTAGCTCGAAGGGGCAGCCACGTGGCCCCAAGGCTCCACTGCGGGCAGGTTGGCCTTGCAGGTGGCAGTATGCTAGGTGACAGGCAGCCTCCATGCCTCCAGGTGTCCAGGGATGGAACAGGGGCAAGAAAGCAGGTCCTAAGACTTGTTTTGGACACAACGAATTCTGAGCTATCTGCCTATAGCCAAGGAAGATGTTGGGGGCAGATACGTGGAGGCTGGTGCTAGGTCTGGTCTGCAGATGGCATCTGGGAGTCATCAGCATATATATGGTATTCATTTGAAGTAACAAATTTGGTGAGGTCATTAAGGGAGTAAATACAGAGAAGACTACCTTGGGGCTAGACCCCAATACTGACACGTTGGGGAGAACAGGAAGAAATAGCAAAGACAGAGTATTCTCAAGTCTTTTTTTGGTTTCCACGCATAATCCCTCTTTTTGTTATTTTCATTCTAACAGATAAACACAAGGAGGCAGCAAATGTATATGGAAGGACAGGAAGGGGAGAAGCTAAGTGGCCAGGACACCAAGTACAGGGCAGGCCCCGGAGGCAAGGATCTGGATGCCACTCAGAGGCCTCTTGGGGGCCACCCTCGATACAGAGCTATAAAACACTGCTGTTCAGAAGTTCTGTGCTCCTTCCTCCCAGACCTAGGTGGGGCTTCTGTCTTCAATTCAGACCCACTGAAAATACTAGTGACACAGTGACTGTGCCTCAGAGCTGCCTCATGTACCATTTGTCTCGGAGTAACACACCTCCTGAAGTAGTACAACCACGAAGCATTTACTGGTTATGTCAAAAAGGTGTGCTTGCTGACACCCCACCCCTTTTCCCCACCACTTATCTGGGTACAGATGGGCGGTGACTCAGTGTTCATCCTACTGCAGTCTCTGTATCAACTGCATTCTGTATTTTTCAAAACAAATGTAACTTTGAAACAGTCTTGAAATTTCACAAACACACAAAAGCAGAGGGAACAATGCAGTGAGTCTGTGTATGTCCATTACTCAGCCTTGACAAGGAGCTATATTTGCTTGAGTCTTTGAAAGATCATTCTTAAGGACACAGCCCAGGGTAAGGGGCCCTCATTTCCTGAAAACAAACCTTTTGGTCTTTTTGTTCTAAACCTAACCCTGCTTATAAGAGGCTGGCACTGTCCTAAGACTTTTCCAAAAACCGATGCCTTGATTCTAGGCCCTTCTTTCCATCTTTTATAAACTCACAATTTGAGTGTTCAGTGCTGTTTCTCAGCTGCTTAACGATCCCTATGAGTGTCCCAAACTTTCCTCCATGAGGAGAGGCCACTGAAGAATGGGTACCTTCTCCTGCCGCCAGCCTAGCCTTCCTAAAACTACCTATGCACGTCAGGTCTGGCCAGCCTGAACACAGACTGCTGCTGCTCATGGTTCTTGGGATCTGCACTTCCTCATTCTGGTCAGAACTAGATCCAAAGTGGTAGGACCTCGGTCACATTTCTATCTTTTGGGAAATGAAATGGGGATTTGTCAAAATGTCTGCCGTCAATCTGGCAAGAGGCTTAGTAGAGGTTCAGATAAGTTTGACAAAAATATTGTGTCTTGCCTACGCCGGAAATTCCCATTCCATTCCCTCCTTTTGGCTGGGGATGTCACATCACCCGTTTCTTTCTTTTTTCTTTTTTTTTTTTAAAGATTTATTTATTTATACAAGAACTGGGGTACAGGCCAGAGGCACGGGAGGGTGAGAGGATTCACCAGAGACAGAGTGGGGAACAGAACAGGCAGACTGACAAAATACACTGCTGAGGGGAGCAGCGGGCAAGACAGGAAAGGTCTGCCGCGCCATGTGGGACCCTCGCCCGCCGGCGGGGATCAAACCGGTGCTGCAGAGGCTGCAGACAGCTTCACAGTGCTGTGCTCAACTGCCTGCGCTTTTCTTACCCTCATTTACATGCTGGCCTCAAAGGCACCTTGGAGCCTGGCCACACAGATTTCCAGCGTTAGGCTGGTTCTCTTCCGCTGATGACAGTTACCATTTGAACCCCACACCCTCATCCAAAAACAAGTCCTTTCATATACATGCTACACCTGATTCTCAGGGCAAGGAGGCAGGGGTCTCCTTCCTCCCTGCCTCCTACGCAAGGGTCCCTCTGCAGCCTGCACAAGTATCACATTGAGACACGAGGGCTTACCGGACTTGTCAAAATCTAGTTTATTCCACTGTGCCTGGGCCTGGAAGTACTTTTCCTAACTTACCTCACACTGATTTTCTCATTTGAATCATTAAGCCCCCACCCCAGTTCTTTCACATCACATGAGCTATTCTTCAGTGTGTCTGGGGTAATCTGGCTGCCTTTCCTCTCTCAGCTGTTTCATGTAAATCCTTTGGACTCATTAACTTGCGTTGTGAAAATATTTTCTTCCCCCACACTCATGAAAAGGACTCGATTTTCATCTAAAAGCTCATCATTCCTAATTCTAAACATAATCCCAGTGAAGAAACCGAAGTTCTAGATTCTTTGCCATAGGTTCCACTTGCAAAAGGGAGACGGGATGAAAACACCATCTGTCCTCATTTACCACTTAAGAGTCCATGGCCCCTGTCATTCTGTTGGTGTCCCTACGTCTTCCACCCATCGGTGGGATGACTAATGCTCACTGGGCTGGTACCTGCAGTAGCCTCATTCCAAATCAAAGCTCTGAGAACACAGCACACCTGCTAAGTGGTGCCACTGAGTCAGCGTGCAGCCCCGGCCTCCCGAGCAGCGCCCCAGCCAGCCCCCAGCCTTCTCCGTCAGAGAGCTTGGTGCCGGTGGTTCCTCCTGACTGTGCTTCTGAAATCCTGTAAATTCCACATATATTTGAAGATGGCAATGGCTGGGTACTGAAGGCATGTGTGTGTTTCCAGGGGTGAACAAGAGACAGACCCTGGTCTTGTGAAGCTCAGATATGAAGTTTTAAAAACTGCGATTAAGTACCGTGATGAAAAATAAGATGGCTCAATGGAGAGACGAACAGGGGTGGCCATTTAGTTTAGGGGTTCTATGCGAAAATGTGAAGGAGATGAATGCATCCTGTGAATTGATACTGTGATGATTCTGACTGATTAAGATGTGACCTGACACTGTAATACTCTGACCTTACGGAAGGGGTAACTGAGATAGACAAACTTAGGTTATCAATTAAAAAGCAATCGCCTGTTGTGAAGACACTGAATAAACTGACATGCAAAGGCAAGGACAGATAAAACCTGGCTGTCAAGAAGTCCTAAATTAAAATTCATAGTGGTCCTGATAATATGCCTCTGAAAAGTACACAGAGGTACCAACTTTAAACCTGTTGGAGAGGCTATGCACTCCATGCCCAAGGTCCTGAACCTTTCCCAGATTTGGGTGAGAGCTGGGGACTCTGAGCAGCTGCCCCCACCCCAACCCCTCCTGTTGAGGACAGGATGCTACCCGAATTCTCCAGGCTGGGTCCCACCAGCTCTGTACTGCCAGTCTCTGGAGCCTCACCAAGAGTTTCATCACCTTCCTCCTTTTACTGCCACTGAAACAGATGTCTGTGCTGTTGCACCGTGGATTCCCCCTCCACTAAATTCCTATCATATGCACCTGGCTTGAGCAAACTGCTTGTGTCCTACGTGAAACATCTCTGCAGGTAGAAGTCAGCACTTTTGAGATCTGAGCCTGATCTAACAGTGTGGTGTAACAACAAAAGTATTTGGTCTTTGTCCTGAGTTCCTGACACAGAGCAAAAATCCATGAAATTTCCTGAGTGATGGGAGTATCCCCTACCCTTCTTCCCTGCAAACCCCTCCTCTACCACAAATGTTCAAACCAACTTTACCTGTAGTAACCCAAACTAGAAACAACTCAAATGTCCATCAAGAGCTGAATGTATGAACAAATTCTGGCTTATCTTTACATAGAAAATTACGTGGCATGAGCCTCCCCAGTGGCGCAGTGGTTTGAGCACAGCGCTTTGAAGCTGTCCACAGTCTCTGAAGCGCTGGTTCGATTCCCGGCCAGCCAGGGAATGGCAGACCTCTCCTGTCTCGCCTGCTGCTCCCCATCTGCCTGTTCTGTTTCCCCACTGTCTCTGGTGGATCTTCTCACCCTCCCATGCCTCTGACCTGTACCCCTGTTCTTGTATAAAAATATATCTTAAAAAAAAAAAGAAAATTACTTGACATTAAAAAAGAATGAACTATTTTTTAATTTTTATTTTATTTTATTTATTATTATTATTATTTAAAGATTTATTTATTTATTTATACAAGCACTGGGTA